GCAACGTCGTTTCGATCCACGACCGCGTGTGTATCAAGGTCATTCATCACATTAATCGACAGTGCCCAATGCTTGGATTTCATTACAGATTACAGACGCCCATGTCGCGGGGTAGCAAGGCGAGATGTTTAAAACGATGCGAGTTGAAGATTTTTTTAAATTATTTTAGAATAATTAATCATTACTATTCGTATTGTTTCCGACGGCTAACGGTGGAAGTCAATGTTGCGGGTTATGTGGATTTGGTGAGCCGTGAACAGCGTTGCCAACGCCGGAGAGAGTAAATCTACCAATAACCAGAACATAAATCTATGATAATCTACTAGGCTTTATTTTAGACCATATTTTAAGCATGTACTCGCAAATTTTAGGCTTGATATGGAAAGTTTTAATGTTCCAGGCGAATGATCAAAATCAAAATTTAGTGGGGCCTTTATGCATAAAAACGGGGAGGGAAAATTTTAATTGCTATATCTATTTTTTTCTTAAATATGGAGAAAATTACAAAAATGAAACTATGTACACTTTTTTTTTGTCGAATTTGATTTTCTTGTATTTGTTCGTAAATATAATTGTTTTTTGCAAAAAAATTAATTATATTGCATATGGGTATTCAAATGGAAATTTTGTAGTGGGTGCCTATCAGATAATTGACGGTTAATAATTCTTAACAGTGCTACTGTCACTTTGAGTGCTGTCCTGTGTAAATTTGATATACCTATTTACTCAATGTGCAAAAACTACACTAACGTCGAAATGATAGATATGTATTGCGTTTATGGTCTACCACTGGCTACTCCTCAGAAGCATATCGAATCGGGCATCAGCTCTGGGAAAAATTGCTTTACAGTGAAGTATGATGAGCACATGACGGTATGGGCCATTTTAAAGAGCAAACTTATGCCCCTTTCACATACAACGAGATTTTCCGCAACGTCTTGCGTTTTCCCGTTCGATCCTGGAAAAGATTTAGCAAAATCCAGAGTATTTGGAACAGATCTTGTTTATAGATGAAGTCAATTTTTTAAGAAATTCGATAATTAGTTATCGTCATCATAGCGACATATGGGTAAGAAAATCCACATGCCTTAGTCTAGGTCTAGACGTTCAATGTGCAATATATTTAGAGACGGTTTGGTTGAATCACGTGGTAATTAAAGTCATTCAACATTTATTATTATCTCTTCATAATTAAAACTTACTTCAATCGATTTCCGTTCATTTTACTGTATTTTTATTATAATAAAAGCTGTCTCGTAATATCCTGTGTGAATAATGGGTTGTTTTGTTTATTTTTGCTCAAAAAAACTATTAAATTTTCGAAAAAATATATGAGATCAAATTTGTTTCAAATATCTAAAGTTATTTAAAACAGATTTTAAATGATCATGTTAGATAGAAAGAAGATACGCAAGAAATTACTTGTAGGGGTGGTTGTTTCTAACCCTTGCAACCGAAGAGAAAGTAGGGAAAATGTACGTAATCTCTTTTTTGTTAGCTGTCTCCATATTTAGCGAAAAAGATAAAAGTAAACTTTTCTCCTCATTTATTTATTTACACCCCGTGTATTAGGTATTATTAAATCCAGTTCAAAAATTTGCCCACCATTAGACATGGGTGTAGCGAGGGGGGAGCAGGGATATGCACGGCCCAGTCCAGTAAGCTCGGTGCCTACCCCAGAAAAAAGATCCAATAATATAATCTTTCTCATATCAAGTCGCTGATTGCGTTACCTTTTTCTGTTTTTTTTTATTAAAAGAAAGAGTGCTTAGATTTTGAAATATTATATTGGTAAGTCGTTGATTGTGTTTTTTTGTCTTTTGCCAGTTTATTTTGAATGCCTGACAAAAAACTAAATGCCCTAATTGAACCATCTTTGATATAACCACTTGAACTAGCTTATATTTGTAGTTTTTGGAAAAAAGACGCTTTAGTTTTGGAGATATTGAAAAATGATCCGAGATATTTACCAATTTTTAGTTAGAAATCAATGTATCTAAAATTGTCAGTAGTTATTCATAAAATACACTTTTGTTCAGGCGTTTGATTTTTTTCAAAGAGAAAAAACGATTAATTCTTCTGTTATTGAAAAAAATGTTGAAACGTAATATTTTCGTCACTGTTGACAACTGAAATATTTGCACATAAGGTAAAATCTGTACCACAAATAATTGTGCTGTAAGGAAATAATTGTATAATTTATCAAAAAAGAGAGAAAATAAGTACTATTAGAACAAAATAATTTAAAGCTTCTGTGGTGGTTAAATGCTGTAGGTGTTTCAAAAATAATTAGCAGTTTAGCAAGAATTAGAATTTCTTATCTTTCTGTAGAAAATAGCAGTCCCGTTTACACGTAAAAAGAAACTGGGAGGAGAATTCCACTTGCAAAAATAGTGGAGGTAGTTCATATAACGTTTGCCTCATTAACGTTGCGTTTTTGAGATGTTACAGGGTGTTGCAGCTGTTACTTTGAAAAGGGTTTTTGTTAACTATCTTTAACTGGGCTAAAGATAAATATGTTAAAATATATACTGTCTTAAGAAAAACGTACAACCCATTTTATCCCCGACATGAGCGGCGTAGTTGCGGGTAGTTTGAGGGATATAATTGAAGGAAAAATATGTTAAAAGTAATAATTTCATAACCGTGCTAACGGTTTTGTAAAGCCTAAAGGTATGTAATACAAAAAAGGAGTACTAGGTGAAGATCGATTAGATATACATTTTACAAGAAAAATGAAGCTAAAGCTCTTTGCTCACAGAAAACAGCAAGAGTAACAATTTAATTGTCACAAGATATCAAACAATGAAGTTGTAAATAGTTTTAATGAATATTCAAAATAAATTTGAAAGAAAATGCCCAAAGTTTAATAAGCAATAAAAAAACTAATACTAATCAATTAATTATCGATTAATTAGCAATATTAGTTTTCTTAAATTCTTAAAAATTAACAATTTGGTTATTCTAACAGCAATAAACAATTGGTTTAAATACTATATAAACGAACATAGAAAGCAAAAATGAACAAATAATCAGAAGTAAATCATGACTATTGTGTACTCATCTTTTCGTAAAATATGACTAGCCACGACTGTGTTGCACTAGCCATTATTTGCGTTTTTGTTTATTTCTGAATCAGTTACAAATAGTTTAGCATTATTATTATAATTTTGTGAATACATTGAATTCAGCAGCAATTCCTCTTACACTTGCATGTGAATTTTCTTCGACAATATTTAAAACGGATACATCTTCAATCCTTATACCTAGATTGCGGATGAGCCTGTTTTCAAAAATGAGCTATAGTCTTTCCGAAGTCAGTTGAATAAGGAAAAAAAACGCCTGGCAATAAAATTTAATGACTGTCATAGGCGTCGCTAAAAAAGTTTTCTGTTAAAGGTAAAAAATTATGATAATTTGTATATAATGTGTACAATATTTCTATTATTTTAATTATTTTATGTCCTCAAACAATTTCGTTTTGTTTCGTTTCAAACGGTCTCCAAAATGCCATGTTGTAATAATATTATTTGTTCCTTTCGCGATTAATTGTAATATCAATGATTAATAAATATAATAAATTAAAATTACCTGAATCACACCAAATTCCGCATTGCTGCACTGCACTGCTGGGCAATGTGTCAACCACTTGTCAACAGCTGAGATTTATTGCCCAGTGACCCAATGCAGCTGTGTTTGTATTTCGTTTGCCCGCGCTCGCATTCTTCAACTGGGCGTATACATTTCTACCACCTCCACGTTTAGTTCGACTAGACCTGTATATGAGTATGGGTAAATAAATATGGGAACAAGTTTTGCAGCATAACTATTTCTTGCTAATATTTTTAAATTTACTTTTCTTTGAGCAAATTGTTTTACCTTCATTTTTGTCGAAAAAAATGTACAGCCTATCGATTTCCAAGTAATATCCTATAGAAATTTTGTCATTGATCTTTTTTTCCTTAAATTATAGTGTTCAAACTACTCGCATCCACATCAGTGTTGTTGGGTTCTTCATAAGAGACAGTTGTGTAATTTTGACATACTTGTCTAGCCGATTTAATTAAGGAAAAAAAAACTCAAAGTAACAACTTTAATACCCTATATCTCGGAAATGCAACGTTAAAGAGAAAAATGTCTTAAAGGAATTCATCCCCCATTTCCTAAGGGATAAACGGGGCAGCTTGAATATGTGTAACTTGAAAAGTTGTTATTTCTACAAGGTATTAGTTACGTGCCGCATTTTTTAATAACGTTTCGCCTCTCAATTTGTTAGCAATTCACTTTAAAAATTGGGAGCGAATACATTTGAAACGTATCCCAATCTGCTAGATTTATTAGAAAATCTACAAAGTTGGCAACGCTGGCCGTGAACTGCGGGCCCAGATTAAACGAAGCGGGGCGCGAGGCGCGAGAAGTCTGCGACAGCATGATGCTAGCCGTAACTGCGCATGAGGCGATTGTCAGTAGTTGATCGTTCGAGTAGTGCTGTGCCTTGTGCCAGTTCGGATTCCGCTACCCGGTAGTGAGAAGTGTAAGGTTGTCGCTCCTATGTCTTGTGGAAACCTCAACAAACGATAATGATAAGATGAGTGTTGACAACTGCAGCCTAGAGAACGCAACTAAAGAACCGGGTAAGGACAAAATGTACCGCCGGCTGACGGCGGCAGCGGACCCTAAGTTCTCATCGCTGCTGCCGCTGGTTAACATAGATGCCGAGAATTACATGCTGCGGGGAATCGGCCGACCGGTAGCAAGTCAGGTTCTGACAGCCTCGGAAGCTGCAGCCGTCTCCGATGGGGACATGGATCAACCAGGAACCGCCTCAATTTGTGGTCCAACACAAACTAATAATAGCAAAGTAAGGGCCGATAAATTTTGGGGTTGGGGAACCGATGTCGCAGGTGGTGATTGTTGCGCTCGCATCCTCTCGTTTCACTCACTTATGTGTTCTTGTGAGATGTCATGTTGTTGTAAATGCGTTAATTTATGTTCTATAGACTGTCACGCTTGTTTCCACAACTATTGCCTACGATTCTTCCCAAATTACCTGTGCCAGAAGGACACCGACACACTGCCACCGGTTACTTTAGAATATGACAAGGTAAGTCTTTCAGGTTTCTCAAAGCCAAGTTTAACAATACTATCAGTATTTATCTTCCTAAAATAAATAAAATCGTACACATTACCCACGTTGTATGAGCAATGTTGATGGACGTTGTTTTACTGGCAACCTTGACTATAAAGAATGTTGTGAAGCCGGTTAAAATTGTCACCGTTCTCGCTGCGGGAATAATTTAATCGCTTTAGACATTTACCCTTCCTAAAGTATATTTTAAAGACGACAGCAATACATATTCATGTCTTACTGTGTGAATGTAACGTCAATGAAACTGTTTATTTATATTTTACAACTACCTCAAATGTAGACTAGACACCTTTAATCTAATCATCTCAAGTGTACCATTAAAATATGTTGCAACGAACTAGGTATCAAATAATTACTAATTAGGTCCTGATACTAAAATGTGCATTTTAATAAAATAATCCTGAAAAAGACCGTTTTAAGTAGACCGTATTCTAATAATAGTTATTAGTCGTGAGTCCACTAGAATTTTGATTGATATGATAATTACCTCTACCAAGTTTTATATTTCCTTAGTTGATTTTGCCTTAAAGCCTACAAAGTAACCTATGTCACATTTTGCTTTTGTCACTGGTTAGTTGATTCAGAAAGCTTGTTCTCGGCGCGGTGTTGTCACATCGCATTTTTCTCTCACGTGTTAGCGGACATATTTTGCGTTTCAGTATTGTCTTACAGCCGTTATCTAGACATTGATTGGTTGATTTTCTGTGTTGAAATCTAATAATAATCTTGTACCTTTAATATTTCCTTCGCGAAATACATTTTCTTTAAAATATACTCATTCAGATTTTTATATTCGTCTCTTGGCTGTTAAATTTTTAGTTATATAGTTGTTGGGCAAGGTTATCACATTTTTATTTATTGCTGTATGAAAATAGAATGTAAAAAATGGGTAGAACTATTCGAGGATTGTATATTTAGTTTCTAAATTTAAATTATAACTAACGCGTACGTACTAGAACGCTACGAATATTTCAGTAACAAGTTATAAAAATCAGGTTACAAATATAATTCTAAGCGTATATTGTGTGAATATATTTTACCGGTATCTTTATATTTTTGTCATTTTTACATAATACTTTATGGGATTTTCAACTAAGGATCAAATGTTTAATAATATACCTAGGTATGTATATACAGCACGCATTGTTTACATGAAAAATTGTCTGAACATCTGAATTTCTATATCAGTTTGAATATCTTATCTTGTGTACCTTCTTAATATCAGTTGTACGGATTTTATTGTTAATATATATTAATATCTCAGAATTATCCCATAATAATTGATGACATTATCGTTTTTATTGCATTTTATTGATAAAATTTCGTTTCCCAGTTCATATCAACTCGCACGATGATGACCTTGCGATGTCTTCAATTTTTTCTTGTTTAACGAAAAGACGCTATATTTTTTTAAAACTTGTTCCGCGGTGTTCTAATAGCAGTAGTTGACCGACTAAAAGAAAAACACCCATTTTTTTTTTATTAAATTGTAAAGATATATACATAATTGAGCAGAGCAAATATAGGAGAAAATCATCTTATGCATAAAAGAGTGTAAATAAATGTTGTCGAAACTCATTTGTGAACATGGGCTTCCAAAAACAGTTGTAGAGATTCCGTGAGGGCAGACAAAACATAATTTCAGCAAGCAACGAAAATGCCTTTTGTGAAAAAGTAATCGTATTCCAATTTTACATTTATAACATACTTACGTTGTTTAGATGCGTGTTTAACATTGTCTAATACTAACAGGGTGTTTTCCTTAAGACTGATTATTTCTTAGTTCTAGTAATATATAAAATGACACTGACGATTGTTACTGTTTCAGCGTCAAATTAATACTGTTTTTCATTTCAAAATAGTGAAAATAATGTTTTAAATCAACATTTTCCACAAAATAGATGGCTTAATTGGCTCAATCTAATAAAAACTGACTTTATTATAAGGATTTATAAAAAGTAATTTATTCTTTGTCACTTACTGCGATGCAGAATATGCACGTAGAAATAGTCGAGATATGACGAGCTTTCAGAAACATGCGTGAAATTCTTGATAAAGTTTAAGATATATGTGAATTCGATTATTCTCTGAACAGTTATAATTTTTAAAAATGTGAAAGCAATAAAGGTTCGGAGTGAATCCATCAAATTATCGAGTACACTTTCACACAATATTGGGCATATTGATCATTTTACTCATTTGTGATTATATTTAAACTAGAGTACTTTCACTCAAATATAGGTACTTAAATAAATTCTTCAAGTAATCTCGTATTTGGTGCACTTATACCTAAATCAGAGTAAATGTCGTCATTACTGAGTGAGTTTAAATGTATATTAATTTCGAGTAATTTGAATGGCACCGAATCTCGACCACAGTTGATAGGGGCCTGTTAGATGCTCCAGAAAAGCGTGATCGCCAGGAGAACAGGCCTTAGCTGACGGCGGCGGGTCTCAGCTGGCGGTTCTCAGCCAGGACAGGAGGAGGCCCCGCGAAGTGAATTAATTTCAACACCTAATCCTAATTAATCATTTATGAGTGATTTATTATTGCACTCAATATTTAGTTAATTAAAAACATAGTCTGAGTAAAAAATGACTATTCATCAAATCATATTAGAGAAAAAGTCAACTCTAAATTGGTTTATATACTCAGAATAGAATCAAAAATCGCTCAATTGATAGTTAGCGGTAAGTCGGATTTGAGTAAAAGTCACCCATTTCTGATGCAATATTTTCACTCAATTGTACTCATACTAATAGAGTGAAAATTTCACTCAATCGAGTGTGGACAGTTGAGTAAAATTTAGTGAAATTTGAGTGAAATGTTTTTGCAGTTTACAGTCGTTTTATTTTTATAATTAATTCCGAGGGATCAGAGACGAACTTAGTATCTAAGGATTAAAGTTGATCTTATTGCCCAAAAATAAAGATCAAAACAGCACTTTTAATTCAGGGAATGTACACCAGTAGCTAAAGTGCATCTGTTAATCCCCAATGATTAAAGGCATTTTAGTCTTGAGGTAATATGCTATTTGTCTGCTCTTAGCGGCCTGAAATATCTGAATTTATTTATAATAAATGTCTAGTTCCACGTTATGTTAGAACGCTGGTCGGCAACTGTAAAATTAATATAGCAACTATAAGCAATTATAATTAATATAAACAATAATTCAGTTGCAATGTAAAGACCGTGTTTTTAAAATCATAAAAGGCTTGTCGCAGGCTCTCCAGTTATGTTTAGATGTTAACAAATGACATGCCGGCAATTTACTGTTTCAGTTCAACTTTGTGAAAAATGTGCAATACCTGGAAAAGTTCAGTTACGTACTATACTCTCTGATGTTGAAATTCTTTCAGAAGCAATTAACACAAAAATGTTCGTTCAAAGAAGAACTGGACTCTATTAATGTAGTAATTAACTTTTTACACTTTTCCATGTGTTAAGCAAGCGGGAAACTGATTGATTATAATGAACAATTTTTTAAATATCACCTAAGCAAGTATTTATATGTTTAAAACGTAAAATTTTATTAAAAATTACATAAAAAGTACGAACTCGAAAAGACGAAAAGTACGAATACGAAATCAGCGAATATGCAGTATTACCTTCAAAAAAGTAATGAGGTTAATAAAAAAACAAGCCGAATTAAACTTGTTTTTTCATTCATTACAAATTAATTATGGTTTGGAAGACATGCGAATAGGAAAATAAAAAAGCTGTATCTAAAGTATAATACTCATCTGTTACTGTCAAAAATTCCGTATTGCGGTTTTACAAATTAATTCTGGCTACTGTATTCGTTAAATCCCTGGGAATTTCGAAAGTCATTAAATGTTTTCTAATTACAGTATTATATTTTATCGAAACGTATAACCTTAATAAAAAATGTGTATCTGCTCCGATACGGGCAGTATATTTTACTTATTTCGTATGTTGAACACTTCAAGGTGATACTTTGAATACTATTCTCCTAAATACTTCCTGTCGGAGACATCGGCTACATTTTGATGCCGAGTTATTTAACCTAAGCATTTCAGATATGTTAATGAATTAATTATATAAAGGATTAATGGTTATTATTTATGGTAAATATTCTTTAGGAAATTTACAGGGCTATTTTAGCGGTGAGGAGGTTTCACACATATTTTATATTTTATTAAAGTTATGTTACAATAGAAACGTGTGTAAGTTTGAACGTAATGGAAATTTTAGACATTTTATTTATTGTATTTTTTGTTTTACACATAATATTTCAGTTTGACAGTTGTGAAAAAGATTTGCAAGAGACTGTAACTATAACTTTTCCAGCTCAACTGTTGTGTCTCCAATAAAAACGTAGTTAAGCAATAGTGCCGATTTAATTTGACAGTAATATAAAGCACTGGGGATAAAATATTGCAAACAATAAATAATACATTCGTGTTTCTAGCATGGAGCTGCTAGAATTTACTAAATATTTGTATATTTTTTTAAAATTGATGTGTTTGGTCATCTCAAATTCCAAAGTATTCACAAGGGAACAATAAACTAAATCATACTGCGAGTGTAGTAGCCGTAATCATGTTACTGTTTTATTGCCAATACGTGCTTCCCTGTAGTTTTCAGAGATTAACTTGGTATGTATTGTGTTAAATGATTTATTGTTCCATTTTTATTTCCCATAAAACTACAGTGAAATAGTTTTTAACAGTTTTTTAAAAACAGTGGAACTTTTAAAAAATGTTTATGGCAACAAGTTTTACATTCAACAGTTTTTTAACCCAAGGTAAAACGTCGATTAGAGCTAATTTGAAATATTGCAACTTTCCGGAATATCGACTTATTTTGATGTATTTTAATTTCTCGGTTTCGTTTCACTGAATAAATAAAGTTTACAGTTTACTTGGGTGGAATCGATTCGGCTGCATTTCTGGTTAACTTCCAAGTCTAAAAATTAAATAGCTTTGTAATTA